ATGCTACTACGGCCAGCATCTTATTTACCTGTGATATTTTTTTCCCCTGTGGTTTGTTTTTAATTTGCCTTAAATGACAGCAGAAAATGTATAACTATAGATAGGCTTAGTTTATTAGCCCATGCAACATCTCTGAAAAAAGGTTGTTGAAAAAGGAAAAGAAAGAAAAGAAAAGAAAACCATCTTTCCAAGATATTTTTCTCACAACCAACTGGACTTCCCCACATCTCCCCCACCCTGCATTCTTTACAATAAAGATATCAGCAAATTATTACCTTGTTTCATGCATTCCTTTGTACTTTCCAATAGTTATACTTTATGTTTAAGATACTTATTATCTAATTACTTTACCTTATAATAAAAATAATGTTACTTTAAACATTGGTCCTTTCATAATTATAAACTTAATTTCCATATCACCGAATCTTGTTGCTGAAGCTAAATTTTCTGAGTCATGCAAACTCTTAACATTCATACAACTTATAATATTTTTGTAGATAGTCTTTAAATTTTTTCCAATCCTCTTCAATTGTTCCTTCTCCCAAGTCTCGGATTCTGCCAGTCATTTCGGCCAATTCCATGTAGTCCATCAATTGCGTCTGCCACTCTTCCAGTGTGGGCAAATCTTGTGTCTTCCAATATTTTGCAAGTAGTATTCTTGCTGCTGTTGTTGCATACATACACAAAGTTCTGTCGTTCTTTAGCACCTTCTGGCCGTCGATACCTGTGATATTTTTATGCCGTCCTTGAATGTGTATTTCTGGGGCAGCGTGGACAGCCAAAAATCTAATCAACCAAGTCAATGTATGAAATATCTATGAAACTTAGGCAATGTGACATAAACATAGAATGAATGAATGAATGAATTATAAGAGAAGAAAACATCTTAAGCTTCAACTTCTGAAAGCATAGCAAAGAAAAAGGTCTTGTTGGGGAGCCTTCAGATGTTGCTTTTGTTGTGCATTTGTGATTATTTGCGCTCATGGTGGTTTATATGCAATCCCATTTTCAGCACTGCAGAAGACACCCTCAGCTGATATAACTGCATGAGAAAGGTAGATAGAGATGAACCTTCAAGCTTCCTAGACTGTCCTTCCTGTGCTGACCTATTGATCTTTCTTCAGGGTTAGGCTGATACTCTCAGGGTTGCTGGCCTCATTTCCTACTTCCTTCTTCATCCTTACCTCAGGAAATGTGATCTCCTTGTGTGTTTCTCCTATGCACGTGAAAGAGCAAATATAACTCTGAGGCCTTGCCTATCAAGTATTTACTTCCTGCAATAAATGTAGATTTCTTGCTTTCCTTCTCAGAGCCTCAGTGTGAATATATCCGTGCTCCTCCAACAAGGATCCAGTGTTCTTTCTTTTCAGCTTCTCTGTGCATGTTAACTCCAAACACCCAACACATCCTGCCTCATCTTCAGTCAGTGACTGTCTTGTAACTTCCTGCTGAAATCCTGTAACTTTTTAAATTGCAACTTTGGTTGGTTGGTTTTTCTGCTGCTTTTATATATGGCAAAAGAGTGTCCTTCCAGTGGGCAGTAGCAATGGGGGGAAATCACAGAGCATCGAATAAGCAGAATGATCTGTGGGTGGTCCGGTCTACATCTACCACTAATGCACTATTATTGTGTCAAGTACATGTCCCAGAACTCACACACGCAACAATCTGGAGAGATGTCTCTGGAAGGATGGTGGGGAAGGAATCACACAGGTATCATACAGGGGTGTGTTTTAGAATGGTGTAGAGCATGGGCAGGCAAACTAAGGCCCAGGGGTCGGATTCGGCCCAATCGCCTTCTCAATCCGGCCTGCGGACGGTCCGGGAATCAGCGTGTTTTGACATGAGTAGAATGCGTGCTTTTATTTAAAATGCATCTCTGGGTTATTTGTGGGGCATAGGAATTCGTTCAATTCCCCCCCCCCAAAAAAAAATATAGTCTGGCACCCCACAAGGTCTGAGGGACAGTGGACCGGCCCCCTGCTGAAACAGTTTGCTGACCCCTGGTGTAGAGGCTAGATGGATGTAAATGTTACCCTTTGGTACAATACACTGGTTTCTAGGCACACTGGTTTCTAGGCATTGTCAGAGTTCAAGGATATGTTTCAAGCTGGCAAAAATGCTCAAGGATGGTTCAAATCAGGGTGAGTGAGAAGTGCAGTCTGGGGAGAGGCCTGCGGAGCAGCTAAAAAGTCTGAGGTGTGTGTTGTGTGCACATTTGGCCTATGGGCCTCAGGTAACTCATCTCTGGCATAGAATAGAGAACTGGGCCTGTTCTGACCATAACATACAAACGTCTTCCCTTCTCTGAGAGCTAGTGTGGTGTAGTGGTTAAGAGTGGTAGACTCGTAATCTGGTGAACCGGGTTCGCTTCCCTGCTCCTCCACATGCAGCTGCTGGGTGGCCTTGGGCTAGTCACACTTCTCTGAAGTCTCTCAGCCCCACTCACCTCACAGAGTGTTTGTTGTGGGGGAGTAAGGGAAAGGAGAATGTTAGCCGCTTTGAGACTCCTTTGGGTAGTGATAAAGCAGGATATCAAATCCAAACTCTTCTTCTTCTTCTTCTTCTGGGACTGTGGGGAAGGCATCAGTGATAGATGGCAGGCTTGGAATGCTGTGCTGGTATTTTTTTAAAGGCCTTCTGAGGGCACAAAGCACATCCTATAATTTTGCTCCTTGCTCCTTACAGCACCCCTGTGAGGCAAGCTTGTGTTATCAGTCCCATATTGCAGATTGAGACTGAGAGTTTGCGCTTTCCTGAGGCTACAAAGTGCATTTGTGGCAGATGTGAGATTTAAGCCAAGGCCTTGCTGATTCATAACTCTGTTGTTTAGCCACAACCCTACCCTATCTCTGCGGCAGCCTCAATAGCTTTTATTTTATTTTTACTTGTAAGGAGAAATTGGTTTCCAGACTTGTTTCTTTGTTCTAGAGCTCAGGCTGGTCAGAAAGCAGATTAGTATCTAACGCTAGATCTCCCTGCGATTTTCAGTAGGTCAGTGAGAGTTTCTGAATCCTAATTGTTTAACTGTAGCAAAAATATGAAAACCCCTTTTCTAAATTAGATTTGCTAAAAGGAAGAAAGCTTGGGGAGTGGGTTGTTTCTGGTGAAAGGACCGTGTGCTCAGTTTAGCTACTGAAAACACGTTCCCAGACTGAGCAGTTTCCCAATAGGTACTTAGTCCCTTAATTCTGTAGCTATTAATCCACTTTCTGGAAAGCGACATGGTTTGTGAGGTGACAACGGAGAAGTCTCAAGCTGGCTGTGGCATCGTGAGATGGTAGGAAGCATCTGTCTGTTTGTCCGATAGATAACATACTGCTAGTTCTGGTAGCTGACATCAGGAACAAGGAGGGAAGTCACAAGGAATGGGATTTATGAGCTCATCCCTAAAGACATAGTGCGCTAAGCCTCGAGTCAAACATTGGCCTAGTTCTCACTGCAGTGGTAATTCTGGGTTGTACCACTTCACACTGCAGGTGCCAGAATACACCTCTGTACAAAGCAATTCTCTGAGCTAGCTAGAATTCTTCTCCCAGTTTTTTTTGGGGGGGAGGGGGGACTGGAGAGATATGGTGGAGCATTCAATCTGTGAGTTTTGACTTGTTGCCTGAAGTGGTACAGCCCTGATCATCACCTTGGAGCAAACTGCCGAGCATTGGTGGTCATTATGATCAACTACCCACCCAATGCAAATTACTTATTATAACTTATTAACTGCAGCAATTCTACAATTTTGTGTGAGGTTAGATTTGGTACAGGGTAGTGTGTGTGTGTGTGTGTGTGTGTGTGTGTGTGTGTGTGTGTTTTCCTTTTTCAAAGTACTTATGATTTTGAGAAAAAGCTGAAAAGGTTATAGGTACTGTAATGGCAAAATGCCTTTTTGACACCGAAATTTAACAGGCAAAAGCAGCTGCTAAGAGGCCATCTTGAAGATTTTGTTTTCATGCACCATATTATTACAGGGACGTACCACCTTCAGAAGAACCTCAGAAAAGAACGAGGGGAGTCCCTTGTTTGTCAGAGGGGCAGCTGGGTAGATTTTCCAGTGCTAGGGGCAAGGGGCAGGCTTCCAGGCCCTGCATAATTATTTGACTGCACCTGGGATTAACAGAAGGAAGGTGGGATTCTCTGCAGTTTGGGTGGGACTTGCACCCTTGGAAACATGCAGTACATTTGTTGGTCTTCAATGTGCCTTAAGGCTCTGTGTTGTTTTGTTTCAGCAAGCTAGCAAGACCTCTCTTCTCAAAAGTGTTACCAGCCTGACGTTATAGTTTTAGACACACTTGCCTATGAATCAGGCTCCCCGAATAAAGCAATCAGGCTCATTCCTCCTGAGCAGGTGGGCACAGGGTTGGCGGCACATCCATTTCACCAGCAGATTCATCAAGGTGCAAAGTCAGCTTCTGCACATCACACATAAACCCTGCTGAGTTCCATAGGGCTTACTCAGAGGTACCAGAGAGTAAGTCCCATTGAGTTCAGCAGGTCCTATTTTTGAGTAAACCTATAGGGTTGCTGATACACGGCTGCATGCCCATGCGCGCACGCAAATATGGAAGTAAATCCCATTGAATCTTTTGCATCTTCCTCCTGAGTAAAAGTGCCACAGTGTCCAGCTGTGCAGCCTTAACTGGGAATGGTGGAAAGGCCAACTTTAATGCCATAAGTCGTTTTTTATTCAACAGGGCAGCAAACAAGGGACTTTCTTTTCTGAGGTTCTTCTGAAGGTGGTACATTCCTGTAATAATATGGTGCATGAAAACAAAATCTTGAAGATGGCCTCTTAAGCAAATGCTTTTGCCTGTTAAATGTTCTTTCAGTGCCAAAAAGGCACCTATATCGAGGTTCTGATCACTTGAACCTTAATTAAAGCACAAGCGATTTTAGAGGGCAGACGGTGCATCCGCTCAGCCGCTTGATGGCGCTAGTTCTCATGGCCTGCTCTCTTTTCTCTCTCCCCCACAGCTTGCTGGGGAGCCTGCCGGGGGCCCAGGACCATGGCCAGCAGCCCTTTGCCAGGCGCCACCGACCTCCTCCTGTCCGCCTCGTCCAACACCTTCCCGTCGGACTCGCTGAGCCAGGGGCCGCCCCCTCCGCCTCCACGCGGCGGCCCTCCTCACCCGGGCGCCATGAAGCCCAACCAGGTGGGCCAGGTGATCCTCTACGGCATCCCCATCGTGTCTCTGGTGATCGACGGGCAGGAGCGGCTGTGCCTGGCGCAGATCTCCAACACGCTGCTGAAGAACTTCAGCTACAACGAGATCCACAACCGCCGCGTGGCGTTGGGCATCACGTGCGTGCAGTGCACCCCGGTGCAGCTGGAGATCCTGCGCAGGGCGGGCGCCATGCCCATCTCGTCGAGGCGCTGCGGCATGATCACCAAGAGGGAAGCCGAGCGGCTCTGCAAGTCCTTCCTGGGGGAGAACCGGCCGCCCAAGCTGCCCGACAACTTCGCCTTCGACGTGTCGCACGAGTGCGCCTGGGGCTGCCGGGGCAGCTTCATCCCCGCGCGCTACAACAGCTCCCGGGCCAAGTGCATCAAATGCAGCTACTGCAGCATGTACTTCTCGCCCAACAAGTTCATCTTCCACTCGCACCGCACCCCCGACGCCAAGTACACGCAGCCCGACGCCGCCAACTTCAACTCCTGGCGGCGCCACCTCAAGCTGACCGACAAGACCCCGCAGGACGAGCTGGTCTTCGCCTGGGAGGACGTCAAGGCCATGTTCAACGGCGGCAGCCGAAAGAGGGCCCTCCCGCAGGCCTCGCACGCCCACCATCCTGGAGGGGGCGGCGGCGGAGGAGGCTCCGGCCCTCACTGTCACCCTTTGGGCGCCGTCAAGGCGGCGGTGGTGGGCGTCGGAGGAGGCCTGCTCAGCCCGCACCTGCTGGGCGCGCCGCCGCCGCCGCCCCCTGACCTGCACCAGAAGCGCGGCCGCTTCGACGACGAGGAGGAGCTGCAGGAAGCGGTGGCGGCGGCCGCGGCGGCTGCAGCGGCCGTTGCGCACGGCGGCGCCGGCAAAGCGCAAAGGAACTACCCGGTCATCCCGGTGCCCAGCAAGGGCTCCTCCTTCGGGGGCGTCCTGCAGAAGTTCCCCGGCTGCGGGGGCCTCTTCCCGCACCCGTACGGCTTCCCCGCCGCCGCCTTCAGCCTCTGCCACAAGAAAGAGGACTCGGAGGGGCTGGGCGTCGGGGCGCAAGGCGGACCCGCGGGACACAAAGCGGCAGGGGCCGCCCCGACGGCAGGAGCGGGCCTGTCGGGGCTCTTCTGGCCCGGGACTAGGAAGGACGCGGCGGCGGCGGCCGCAGCCTTCTACCCGCCTTTCTGCATGTTTTGGCCGCCGCGCACCCCGGGGGCGCTCCCGGGGCTGCCCACGTACTTGCAGCCCGCGCCGCAGCCGCCCACTTGCACCGCCCTGGGCGGGGAGAGCCCCAGCTTGCTGCGCCAAGCCTTCCTGGACCTCGCGGACCCCGGCAGCGAAGGGGGAGCCGCCGGGCTGGGCACGCCGCCCGCCGCTGCCGCCCCACAAGCGAGCGGAGGAGGCGGCAGCGGCAGCAGCAGGGACCCACGGGCTTTCGACGGCAGCGAGGCGGCATGTTCTCCCGCGGCTGAAGGAGGCGGCGGCGGAGGGTCGCGGGGCTCGGCGCCTCACCAGCCCCACCTGCTGGACGGGCAGCCGCGGGGCAAATCCGGCGCGTCGTACCACCACTCCAGCGCCTTCCGTCCAGTGGGGGGCAAAGAGGACTCGGAAAGCCTAGCCAAGCTGCACCACCACCACCCGGCGCCGCGCTCCTCGTCCTCGCCGCCGCCCCTCTTGCTGCTGCCGCCCCCCGAGCGGGAGGCAGGGGGCTGCGAACGCCCCCTCCAGGCCCCCGGCCACCGCCTGCTCTCCCCGGGGGGCACCAGCTGCAGCTACCCCAGCGAGGAGAGCAGCGAGGAGGAAGAGGAGGAGGAGGAAGAGGACGAAGAAGAAGAGCCGGAGGTGGACGTGGAGAGCCACAAACTGCCGGAGGAGGAGGAAGTGGAGGAAGAAGCGGAGGAGGAAGAGGAAGACGAGCAGGATGTGGTGGACCCCGTCGGGGGAGCCGGCCGCTACCTGCAGAGCCGCGGGCTGACGGACAAGGGCTCCTCCCGGGACAGGCCGAGCGGGGCAGCCTCTGCAGTGGCCGCCGCCCCGACGGGGCCTTACCCCGCGGCCTCCTGCCGGCCGGCTCCAGAGGAGGAGAAGTCGGGGGCGCCCCACGCCGAGCAGCTGCTGCTGCCGCCTCCCCCTCCCCCTCCTCCGGCTCTTCCTCTGCCCACCTGCCCCCCGAAAGGAGGAGGAAGCAGCGGCGGGAGCAGCCCAGCGCCCCATCCATCAGCCGAGGAGCAGGCGCCGCAGCCCCCTTACAAAGATGTAAATACCCCCCTCTAGGCTCCTTCGAGCCAATTATTTTTATTGAAATGCACCTCTAGGCTGAGTCGCTTCCAGATGCGGGGAGAGGAAGATGGATCGAGGAGGGTCTTTTCGCAGGGCCCCCGCCCCTTTAGAGCCAGGGAAACGGAACTGGCAAGAAATAGGGCGAGCCTCTCCCGCATATCCAAAGGCAGCGCCTGCCTTGCCCGTGACACTTTCAAGCGCTTGTGGGTGGCGCGTGGCTCTTGTCTGGCGCTCCCCCCGCTCTACCCCCCAGCACAGCTTTTCTGGGGGGAGGGGGCATGGGGAAGGGGGCTCAGGAAACGGGGGCCACCATCCGGCCCTTTCCCAGCCTCGTTGATTTCAATGAGACATTTAAACACCTCCTCAGTCTCGGCTTCTCGCCCAATATTTGCTCCAATATCAGCTCGCCCAATATCTGCTTCCAAAGAATAAGGTCTCCCTTGGAAGAAACACCAGTTCCTTCGACCGTAACTGGGCTTCTTCCAAGGAGGCGAGTGCGCGTTGCCATTTTTGAGGGTCGCACAGGAAAACCAACCGGGGGGGGGGGCGTTTTATCACAGGTTTCAGGACCCACAAGAGCTACAGGCGGACCCGATGCCTCTCCGAGCGCGACGCACAACCCGCCTCAGTCTCAAAATCCCTTGTCTGTGGGCTGGATTCTCACCGCCGGCAGATGAGATGGCAAATCGGTTTCTGGGCTGTGCCATTTCAGGTTGAAGGCGCAAGGGAGTACGTGACTGAACGCTCCTGCATATAAAATAATTAAACCAATGGCTCTCACGCAGAAAGCTAGCATGTCAGGGAGGGAGCTTCTTGAAACGCTAGCTTTCTATGTGCAGGGGCATTACTATCATCATAATTTAGTCATTTTTTTAGTAGTAGTATGAAGAACCACCTGAAATGTAGCAGAGCCCAGAAACTGCTTAACTACCTCATGTATTGTCTGTGAGAATTAAGTGCTTTAGTGCCAGGACACTAAGTTGGTTGAGTTCCAGTGCTCGCCTTGTAACAGGAGACACTGCAGACACAGTGACGTTAACGGGCCGGAGTAGGACTAACATGAGCTACCGCTCCTTGGCCTTTTACTAAAGCTCAGGACCCGCCCTCATAATAGGTTCTGCGGAGTTCTGATAGCCACACCTCAATTTTTTATTTTTATTTTTATATTTCTAGAGTTGGGAAAAGAGCAGTAAAGCACAACCAATATGACTAGGGGACTGGAGCGAGTCCCTTAGGCGGAAAGGGAGCTTTTTGGTTCATAAAATAAGACCCAAGGGTGCGGAGGAAGCACCGAGAGAGAAGCTTTTCTCTCTCATAATGCTAGAGTTCTAGAGAAAGGACGTGGCTCAGAGGTAGGGCGTCTGCTTCGCAGGCGGGAGGTCCCAGGTTCGATCCCCCGCATCTCCTGCCAGAGCTGGGAGAGACCTCGGCCCGAAATCCTGGAAGAGCCTCTCCCAGTCCGTACTTGAGCGAGATCAAACGGCCTCACTCAGTATGTCAGCGATCAAACTGACTAATTAATCTCTGGAACTCGCTGCCACAAGATGTCGCGATGGCCATTGACTTAAGATGGGAATTTTCCGCGGAATTAGGAAAGGACAAGTCTATAAATGAGTCCTAGTTGTACTGGGTACTGTATGCAACTTCCAAGTTTGGGGAAAGTCCTAACGTGTACACGGCCCTGAATAGTGACCCGTGGAAATTAAGGCCACGATCCTCTACTACACACATATCTGGGAGGAAATCCCATGGAACTCAGCGGGGCTTACCTCTGAGTAGATATTATGTAGGATTGCGCTATAAATTGGTTTAGAGGGGACCTCGCCACTTTTTAGTGCAATATGCATGCGGGGCCCGAGGGTTTGTCATAATCAGGTCTTCGGTCGGCATATACACTGTACTGTACCTTTGAAGCAAATTCGCTGCAGCTTCTTTCCCTCAAAGGATTCTGGGCGCTGTAGTTCGTTAAGCGTTGCGGGGCGTTGTCACTCTGTGAGGTGTCAACTACAGCGCCCAGAATCCTTTGAGGGAAAGAAGTTGCAGCGAATGTGCTTTAAAAGGTTGATACACAGAGTTAAAGGCAATCCTTAGCTTGCTCTCCTGTTAAGGAGGACGGATCACCTCTCTGGGATCAGTCTGGTACCATGCACCCATTTCCGTGAGATCAAGACCCACTGATTCCAACGGCACTTCTTCCGAGGAAGCGCCTTGAGGAACACAGACTTGGGTACACACCCAGAAGGAAAAGCTCCTGGATCAGTTCCACTGGAGGCCGCGAAGCCCAGCTTTCTGTCGCCAACACAAACAAATCCTGCGGTAGCTCATGTGGTTGAGCATAAAACTCTTGATCTCAGACTGAAATCCATGGGTTTGAGCCCCACATTGGGCAAAAGATTCCTGCATTGCAGGGGGTTGGACTAAATGGCCTTTGCGGTCCCTTCCAACTTTACAATTGTATGATTCTATAAACGCTTCCCCGGAACAACGTCTCCTCAATTGGTTCGCTCCTGCCCGCTCAGGTAGGCTCCGTATTGAGCAACAGTGGCTTGGATTCCTTAAACTGGACTTAAACTGGTGGTCGTCGCCTTCAACGGGGGAGGGGGTGGATAATAATAATAATAATAATAATAATAATAATAATAATAATAATAATAATAAATTTTATTTATATCCCGCCCTCCCCAGCCGAAGCCAGGCTCAGGGCGGCTAACAACAATAAAACAGTACAAAAGTACAGCATAAACAATACTCTAAAATCATTAATTATAAAATTAATTATTATATTATATTATATTATATTATATTATATTATATTAATAATAATAATTTATTATTTGTACCCTGCCCATCTGGCTGGGTCTCCCCAGCCACTCTCCCCAGCCAACATTCCTTAATTTTACAATATTTCTATAAATAGTCTTTAAACTTTTTCCAATCTTCTTCCACCGACTCTTCTCCCTGGTCTCGGATCTTGCCAGTCATTTCTGCCAATTCCATATAGTCCATCAACTTCGTCTGCCATTATCCAACACTTCAGTGTTTTCAAGAAGCAGCCATTCTCTCAACCAGCAAAAAGCAGATGGTTCACAACAAAATTTAGAGGTCTGGCAGGGCACGTCCACCTCCTTCTTTTACATCCGTCAATATCTTAAGTTTTACTGGAGGCTTCCTGCCCTGCCAAACAAATCTAGCAACATCCCTCTGCCACCTCCTGAAACAATCCATCCCATCCAAAGCTTGCAATGTTTGAAACAAAAACAACATCCCCAGCAACACAGCAGCCCTCATCCCCACCACAAGGTAGTAGTTCTTCTCTTTGACATCTGACGAGAGGGTGTTCCATAGGGCGGGCGCCACTACCGAGAAGGCCCTCTGTCTGGTTCCCTGTAACCTCACTTATCGCAAGGAGGGAACCGCCAGAAGGCCCTCGGAGCTGGACCTCGGTGTCCGGGCTGAACGATGGGGGTGGGGACGCTCCTTCAGGTATACAGGACCGAGGCCGTTTAGGGCAATTGAGGTCCATGGTGGACATGTGCGGGATTTACTTCCGAGTAAACAGGGCTCACTATACAGCTGTGGACGTAAGCCTCCCCTCCCCACACCCAGCCCTGACCTGTTTCAACCACAACACGGGGGGAGTTTTCCCTGCGTTGAAGTAGACGAGGCTTTACATTGCTAGAGCGCGCTGGGGACGCGCCCCCGGCTAGGATCCACGCCACCAGAACTTAGGCACGCTGCTTACTCGAAAGTAAGCCTCAATTGAGTCCAAGGGTTCCTCGCTGAAATCCATGGGGTCTTTAATGCCCCCCCCCCAGCAACCATACTTAAATGTGACCTTTTATATAAGACTTGTTTGTGGATGTTATTCATCTGTTGCCCCCCACCTCAAATAAAAAATATCTCAGGGACCCGACAAGCGTCGCCGGTCGTCATGTTTGTCCCCCCGCCCCCGCGTTTGTTTCTCCTGCTCTATTTTCCTTGCTCGCTGCAAACCGTTTACTTTCCCTTTCCTGTTAATTGCTCATCGATTGCATTAGGTTTGGCTTTTAATTCCTGTTTGTTTGTCTGTTTCTCGTCGTGCTAGATCCAGAAAGGCAAGGAAGGGAACCAGGTTGCCGCGTCGGCGAAGGAAGACAACAGCTTCTCAGGCAAGACACGGAGTCGTTGGCTAATTTCTCACGCCGGGGCAGACCCGGGAGCGCCGTGGAAACGGGCAAATGCGCAATTGCGGGCCCAGATCCGGATCTGTCCTTAGGAATGTGGCTGCTGAACCGCAGATCCTTTCTCAGACACTGCACGTGTGAGCATGTGTGTGCGTGTCAGATCACGCCGAACTAGATATCGATCTTCTCGAACACTTAATCAGCCAAGTTAACGCGACAATTACCAGCAACGACTAAGAAACACTGGTCGTTAGTATTCCTAGCAAATGCTAGCAGGTTCTCAATGCCATACGTACAACACGTTTTCTTTTCTATATGTGCTTGCATGCTGGCTTGTATCTGCTCCCCTCTCGGGTTTGTGGGGTGGCGGTGTTCCTTCCAGAGAGCTTTGCAATATTGCAAATAATAATAATTAATTCGGGTTTTGTATTTTTACTTTTAGAGAAGAGCAAGGAACACAATTTTTTCATCACAGACGCCGAACATCCAGGAGGGGATTTCTGGAGAAATATTGCAGGTAGGCTCACAGTGCAGGGGAATCAATGCACAGGTCTGCAACGGGACCCGTCCCGTGTTTACTCGGAAGTAAGCCCCGCTGTAAGGCTTCCTCCCAAGTCTGCGTGCGTAAGACTGTGTAGCCTTCAAATTCCTAATCAAATGACTGAATATTTTGTAGAAGGGTAAAAATAAACAACGGTCCCAGATAGATATAATAACTAAGGGGAAAATGCAAAGAGGTGTTAATAGCAATAAGGTTATTAATTGCTGGGCATATTTCAGCAGGAAATTTCGGGAACGGAGCAGGTTACACAATGGAGCCGGCTGGTAGGGAAGAGAAAACATAAAATGACAATAATTGAAATGTTCTCTTTGAAACCTTCCATTAAAAAGGATCACAGCTTATTGCTTTTAATATCTGTCAGAGAGACATTAAAGGTGTTTTATGAGATCCATGGCAACATTTATATTATCTCCGTGATAATGATCTCTACACAAAATGTATAATACATTGACAAAAATTACATTATACAAATTAAATGGAACCACCTTTTACTGATTGCTAAATGTCTCCAAGGGGTTTGGGGGGGCGGAGGGGGGAGGGAAAGACGTGATTAGAAGTTTTGATACTAAGTTGTCTATTGCGAGGGAGGGTTATAAGGAAAAGGGGTTTTTGTTTCTTGGGAGAGAGAGAGAGAAAAGGGAATCTAATTTTCCATTTATGTAATGCAAACTGTCTTGGCTTTGACTATTCACGGTTAATTGACTGTCAAACGAGGTTGTTATCCCGAGGCTATGTCTGCAAATTTGCCTGTCAAATGAGACAGAGAGAGCAAGCCTTGGAGAGAGAGAGAGAGAGAGAGAGAGAGAGAGAGAGAGAGAGAGAGAGAGAGATGCAAGTGTAGTGGGAACTGATGGAGAAAATGGGATCTTCCAGAAACCTTATATAATAGCAGCCAGCACAGTTCTGACTATATATATATATATATATATATATATATATATATATGATCCCTAAGTGATCCAACATGGTTATAGGCTTGTTCCACTGCAAAAAAGCAAAACAAAAGCAAACCCTACTTTCCTTCAATGGATTCCACATGATTTAAAAGCCCACTCTGAAACGGGTGCTGCGACGAGGGAGGGAAAACAATGGCCTTTTAAATAAAGTGAATAAGAGATGATAAACAGGGAAATTGATATTAAGAGTGGGGCAAGGGATAATCTAGCTTGATTATTTCCAGGGTATTATGAAATGGCCCACCAGGGAGCCCGATACCAGCAGGAATACATTCCGGAATAAGTTATTAAGAAAGCTTTGTAGGATTCTTGGCTTCCTGCGCTGGAGAAAATTTAGATAAACTGAGATGGGTAGATACAGAAAAGTAGTCCTACATCCCTGCATTGTGCGTGTGTGTGTGTGAAAGAGAGAGGACTCCTGCATGTATTCATGCAAATGAATACCTCTCTCCCATTTATCTGCTTTCTGGCTCCAAAGTACTACAAAGAGTGTTTTCTAGAGAAGCATCTGTGTTGAGTCTGTTGCAACGGAAACAGCAAAGAATCTTGTACTACCTTGAAGCCCTAATAAAACACAAGCCTTCAAGAGCCATAGTTCAACTCCATCAACTATTCTTAGCCCACAACAGCTACGTGAACCCTCCGGAATCAATGGCAGTATATCTTACAATACCAGATATTGGGGACATGCAGTGGGAGGGGGTCTGATGCCTTCCATGGGCTGATCATGGGTCTTCCAGAAGCAGCTTGCTGGTCACTGAAGCTAAGTAGACCCCATATCTGATCAGCAGGACTTACGTTTTGGGTCAGGGTAGCCAACATGGCGCTATCCAACTGCTGTTAGACTTCAGCTCCCATTAGCCCCAGCTAACATGGCCAATAGTCAATGGTATGGGAGTTGGACCAACAACATCCACAGGACAACACGCTGGCTGCCACCATGGATTTCAGTGAGATAGTCAGTTTTATTCATTATTTGTCACATTCTGGCCCACCTCCCCTTTGACTGTTGGATGGATCTAGATGAGTAAAGGTAAAGGGACCCCTGACCATTAGATCCAGTCACGGACTTTAATGTCTCTGGGGTTGCGGCGCTCATCTCGCTTTATTGGCCAAGGGATGCGGTGTACAGCTTCTGGGTCATGTGGCCAGCATGACTAAGCCGCTTCTGGCGAATCAGAGCAGGGCACGGAAACGCCATTTACCTTCCTACAGGAGTGGTACCTATTTATCTACCGTACTTGCAATTCGTGCTTTCAAACTGCTAGTTTGGCAGGAGCAGGGACCGAGCAACGGGAGCTCACCCCATTGCGGGGATTCGAACCACCGACCTTCTGATCAGCAAGTCCTAGGCTCTGTGGTTTAACCACAGCGCCACCCCCATCCCCCCATCTAGATGAGTAGGAGAGGATATTTTATATATGAATGATCCTTCCTCGTTTTTTCACTTGTGTGAGAATGCAAATAATTATTTCAGCAGAGTTATATCACCATCCGTGCGCAGCTTATCTCTAGAAGCTATTGGGGACAAGGTTACATAACCTTCTAGAACAATTACGATATCCAAGGTTGCTTAGGCAGACTTGGATTATTTTCTCCCTTTTAATGTTTCCCTCTTAACAAATAAACCACTCTCAGGCTGCTTAAGTAAACAAGAATATACAAGGTTTACTCACATTAAAAGTCTTGCCAGGATTCAACAGTTACAGTGATGAAAATCAGGCAGGCAATAATCCTTAAATGTTACAAAAGTCCATATTCCATTTCAAAAGGGAGTGTGCTCATAGACAGCTTACTCCATTGCAGGTAAGAAGAAGAGTGTGCAGTGACAGGAAGAAGAAGACTATTCTATTGTTCCCCTCCCCATCACACAAGTTTAGAGGATATGCCATCATAGAACCCCATGTTTGTGACTATCTAGCAATCATGCATCTAGCAATTCATGGCGGACAAAAGAAAATACTTATTTACACAGGGCATAGCTAAATTGGGGGATCTGCTCCCACAAGAGGCAGGAATGTCCACCAACTTGGGTGGCCCCGTAAAAGAGGTTTGGGCAAACTCATGGAGGTATTAGCTATGAAAGATAATGTTGTGCCTCCACCTTTGGGTGCTGTGTGCTTCTGACCTGTTCCTGGAAACTGCAGGAGGGGAGAGTTCTGTTGTCTTTCCAAGAACGGAAGTGGCATGAGTAAAAATGGAGACTTTTCAATTAAAATAATAATAATAATAATAATAATAATAATAATAATAATAATAATAATGGCAGAATCACCTCCCACATTAGCCTCTGGGGCTATTTGTCCATTCCCTCATGTGCCTAGTTGTCAAATTGATTGCCAATAGAAGAGGGGATGTGTTTTCTGTTTTTCTACCTAAAATGGTAAAGTCTGCCATTGCACCTATCATAGATAGATAGATAGATAGATAGATAGATAGATAGATAGATAGATAGATAGATGATAGATAGATAGATATAGATAGATAGATAGATAGATAGATAGATAGATAGATAGATAGATAGATGATAGATGATGATAGATAGATAGATAGATAGATAGATAGATAGATAGATAGATGATAGATAGAAGATAGATGATTGATGATTGATAGATAGATGATAGATAGATAGATATAGATGATAGATAGATAGATAGATAGATAGATAGATAGATAGATAGATAGATAGATAGATAGATGATAGATAGATAGATGATGTAGATAGATAGATAGATAGATAGATAGATAGATAGATAGATAGATAGATGATAGATATAGATAGATAGATGATAGATAGATAGATAGATTGATAGATAGATAGATAGATAGATGATAGATAGATAGATAGATAGATAGATAGATAGATGATAGAGAGAGAGAGAGAGAGATGGATGATATAGATAGATAGTATGGCACATTCCATCCCCCCAAAAGGGGCAACAAGGCATTCAATTTGCACCCAATTCTGGCAAAAAAACAACAACAGAGGTTTTGTTTGCTTGTTTGTTTTTGAAACAGTGATCTTTAAAGGTTCCCTGCAAAAACCACCAAGGTGGATCTGCCTCAGATCTGGCAGGCTTAATTCACTGTGGATCTGGCAGGCCTCTTTTGCCTGCAGGCTTCCTTGACTTATGTGCTAGCATGGATTATGCCATTCTACTAATGGGATGCATTAGGGAAGCATTCCACTAATGCGTCCCATCAGCGCAAGGTTTTCTGCTTGTGCAATAGGGCTTTGCCCCTCTCCCCCTCCTGTGTGTGCTCCAGAACATCAGGGGAACCCCCAGAGTAGATCCAGGGGCTGTGCGAGGAATGAGAGGGAGAACGTTCTTGCTGTGCAATTGGAAATCCTCGCACAGATGGAAGGGTTACCTTAGCACTATGATGGATTCCTCCAATTCTGCAGAGATGTACTGAGAATGAGCAGGTGTCTTTGGTTAATTGTGAGTGGGGAGGAAAAAGAGAGACCTAGAGCATCAGATAAAGACCACTGCTCATCCTGCTACTCTAAGTTTCATTCCTAACACCAGAAAGCAAAAAGGTCGCCAAGTGACCAGAAGGGGAGGGGGGAATACCTGCTCTTATGCCCTTAACAGCAGTTTTGGCTGCATAAACCAGCAAGCTGTTGCTTTTCACAGATGGTTATCCTTCCTTGCTGTGTGTCAAGCTGCTGTTGGGATATGCAGCAGGAGACATAAAGTGAAGCTGCCAAGTCGAGGTAGACGGAGAAGGTTTTTCCAGGTTGTGGCAGGCCTTGTCATGCACAGGGGCGACTGAAGCTGCGTATGTTATTCCTTAGCCAATTATTAGAGACCACATGTAATTTCACAGGGACAGCATAGGGCGGTCAGATTAAAAGTGATGCCAGATATTTCTGCACCTTTGGTAGCTGCACCCAAAGGAACTATAAAAGCTGCAATAGTGCCTGGTTAGAACAGTAGAAAGACCATTGCAATTTGTATTCCTGACTCATTAATACTACAATTCTAGACATGCTTA